ACAGTAAACACTTGGGGCTTGTGAGGCGTCAGGTCTCTGTCTCAACCGCTCACCTCTGCCCTGGACCTGCGAAAGCAGCCCCGGGCGGTATGTACACGAATGGGTGGGGCTGTGTTCAAACAAATTGTATTTACAAAAACAGTGGCGGGCAGGGTTGAGCTGGTGGGCTGCCGTTTGCTGAGCCCTGGTCTAGACCGTTTTCCCAGCAAGGATGTTGATCTGGTAAGAGGTACCATGTCCGCCCCCGCCGCCCAGGTAGGCTGGGTTTTTAAACATCATGACTGGTGGGGGGCGGGGAGGGCGGTGCTTACATTTGTTTTGGGGACAGGAAGTTGCTCTCTGTCCCTCCAATCGCATGGGCAGGCCAGCCTGTGTCTTTGACTTGGGGCTGAGAGGGTGTGGTGATTGGACCTGGCCTGCGAGAATGCTAACCTACTGATTGTCTGATTGATTGATTGATTTTCTATAGGGTTTGTGCACTCGCCAGAGACAGACAGAGGTGGAGAGAGAAAGAGGCAAAGTGAGAACCACCCCCAGAGGGGATGACCACACCGCAGTCCCTTCTCCTCTCAGGATTTTGGGCATGCATGCACACGCACCTGAAGTGTTTTTCAAGCAGCTGGGTCAGAGACCCAAACAGCATCGTCAGCCCTGTGGGATCCAGCCACCCCAACCTCTGCACCTCCTGCTGGCTCACTAACCTCTTATTTTTTATTTTTTTTAAAGCTCATGGAAATGCATAATTTTAAAGGAATTCTTTTATTCAACTTATTTATTTATTTAAATTTGACCAGAGAGGGACAGAGAGAGAGAACGAGAGCGAGAGCGAGAGAGCGAGAGAGAGCGAGAGAGCGAGAGAGCGAGAGAGAGAGCGAGAGAGAACGAGAGCGAGAGCGAGAGCGAGAGAGCGAGAGAGAGCGAGAGAGCGAGAGAGAGAGCGAGAAAGGGCAAGTGAGAAAGCAAGCCATCAGGTCCAGGATTCGAACCATGGTCAGCCATGTGGGTGTTCAGTGCCTTAACTACCACACCACCTGCCAGCCCCATTACTAACCTCTTTTTAAAAGGAATCAGATTTCTTTACTTATGGGTAGGAACACAGGGTGACTTGCTGTGTGCCCTTGGGGAAGTTACTCTCCTTTTCTGAGCTTTGCTTTCCTCATCTATAAAATGGAGATGAAGAGGGGCCAGCAGGTGGCGTAGCAGTTGTGGTGCTGGATTCCCACATGGCCAACTGTGGTTTGAGTCCCAGACCCGGTGGCTTGAAACTCATACTGGGCACATGTATGCGTGCCCCAAATCCCAAGAGAATGGAGGAGAAGGGACCGCGGTGTGACCACCCCCCCAGGGAGTGGTTTCTCACTTCCTCACTCTCCGTGTGTCTCTGGCCAGTGCAGGCAGCCTGTAGCAAACATCCGTCTCTGTAAAAAGCCATGGAGATGTGGTGGGACACAGCCGCTCTGCACGAGCGTGGGCTGTGATGCGCTGCACTTCCTCATGCTCCCAGGGAAGAAAGAGGCACCGTGAAATGCAAGGACAACGTTTTCCATCCTGTTCTGTCCCCGTGAAGTCCCTCTGGTGACCAGAGAGGGCAACACTGTGGCCTGAACAAGATATAGGAAATACAGAAAGCAGATTAAAGTAGACTCGATCCCTTGTCACCTCTGAAACCATCCACGGCTCCCCACTGTCCAGAGTACAGTGCAGACTGGGCCTGGATTTAAGATCCTTCTCAACTGTCTTCCCAGTCTCTTTTCCAAGGAAACTCACGTTCCCAGACTCTAGCCCCTGGCAGTTTCTGAATGCTCTTGGGTGTTCTCAGCCCTGAGCACCTACTCCTACTTCTTCCTTCCAGGGGAGCGTTCTCCAAAGCTCCTGTTCTTTATTCCCAAATAGTTCTTCTCCTGCTCGTGGTAGAGGCTTGAAATTCCCCCCACTAGGGTCTCATGTCTTTGGATGACTAGGATATTGCCAAATTACAAAATCTCCATGTGCGCTTGGCGTTGGTAATTTGCCATGGATAGGTTCTGTTTAGGAAGGGGGTCCTTCATCTCCCGGAAGCCAGGTTGACTGGTTATTCATGTCTTTGGCCACCAGGGGGAAGCAGAGGTGCTGGTCACCAGCCAAACTCCTCCCACCCAGGCTGGCCACTTAGAAGTAGAAAGGCTTGTATGGCTACTCAGAAATTCATTCACTGTTCTTTTTGGTTGATGTACTTAAAAAAAAAAACAAAAAACAAACCTAAAAGGATAAAAAAAATTAAAGATCCAAATGTAAAGAGTGAGGTAAATAGCTGAAATGGACCTGATTTACTGATAGTCCCGCCCTTGTGGCTGACAGTGCCCTTCTCGCTGCCTTTGTAAAATGTTGACTTTTATATATTGATGTTGCCTCTTCTATGATTTGGAAGACATTCTAGTTTTAGTCTTGTGGGTGATTTTTAATTATGCTGGTAAAATATTTGACCAAAATTTCTAAGCTTAAATTCATTTTCTTACACATCCAAATCAAAGCAAAAATTTTAAAATAATTTGCTATAGGGCATGTGCACTCACCAGAAGGAGACACACACACACACACAGAGACAGAGAGAGAGACAGACAGAGAGAGAGAGAGAGAGAGAGAGAGAGAGAGAGAGAGAGAGAGAAAAAGAGAGACACAGAGAGAGAAAGTGAAAAAGCAAGCCACTAGGTCTGGGACTCGAACTGCAGGTGGTTAAGGTGCTGGATTCAAAGCAAATTTTTATAAAATTGTTTTTAATGAAAAGTAAAGAGTTTGGTAATATTGGCAGTTTTCTTTTGTTTTTATAGTTTTCTTTATTATCATTATTATTTTAGTTCTAGGGATTAGATTTCCCTCCTTTGCTTTCTAACACTTTTTGTTTTTTTTGTCTGTTATAGCTTGCTTTTGTTCCGATAGTTACACCAATAAATTAGACCAGTGGTTCTCAAATTTCAGTGTAACTCAGAATTCCCTGGAGGGCTTATTAAAACAAATTGCCAGGACCAGCAGTTGGCATAATGGCTGTGTTGCTGGACTCGCATGTAGTCGACCACTGTTGAGTCCCGGACCTGGTGGCTTAAACTCATGCCAGGTGCGTGTGCGTGCGTGCCCAAGATCCAGAGAAGAGAATGGAGGAGAAGGGATTGCGGCGTGAACATCCTCCCTGGGGGGTGATTTCTCACTTTCTGTTACTGTGTCTTTTTGTCTCTCTGGTGAGTGCACACGCCCTATAGCAAAAAACAAACAAACAAACAAACAAACAAACAAAACACCCTCTCAAACAAAAAAGCAAATTGCTAAGCCCCACCCCCAGAGTTCTGCGCCTGGCCTTGAGAATCTGCATTTGCAATATGTCTCCCTGCTGCTCTGGTGGACCCTACTTTGAGAACCACTCACTCGGCCTGGGCCACGACTGCCCTTCTCTCTTTGGTGTTCGGACACTTTGCTGACCAGCATGTCTCATCTCTTCATTGGTGGCCACATCCAGATCTTGGGACTCCAACATCTCCAGTGAAGGGAGCTTCCCTGGAGTTGCCTCTTGAATTCCGGAATTATCTTTTGAAAAACTCAGAAAAGACAAAAGGCTAATGGGTTTCCCCAGCCTCCCTGCAGTTGCCTTCATTCATAAGCTAAGGCTGTGAGCAGAATTTCGAGTTGCATTTGTTTTCCTGTGGGTGTCTAGCCCGGTTTCTGGCCTCATTTGTGGGCAGGAGATGTCTGTAGTTTGTCTGCTTCAAGGCCATTGAAGGAAACCCAAGCTCCCCCCTCTGTTTGGAAGTACCTAGGATTAGGATTGTTTTTCTTTCCTCTTGAAGCTGAAATGTAGTCTTGAGTTATTTCTGACCATTCCCTGCAACTGATGAATCCTCAGCATGATAGCTTTCACACAGTGTCTCAGCTAATTTCGGGGTCACTGTTCCCCTTCCTGGGTAGCTCTTATTGCCACGCTGAAGCAGTGCTCGTAAGATGAACTTCAGAAACGCTTTCTGTTTTCTCAGCCGTGAGGATCCCGTGCCCTTGCCGTCTGCCACGCCTTGGTGCTGGTTCTTTCACCCAGAGCGACCCTCTTCCCTTCCCTGCCTGGAAAACTCTCAGGCATCTTCAGGGATCAGTTCAGCGCCCCCTATCGGCGAAGTCGGCCATGATTCTCTCGCTGGTGCATCCGCCTTCGCTTGCGCCCACGCAGCCCACATCCTGTCACGTCATGGTGTTTCTTGTTTTGTTTGTGTGTCCTCAGTGCCTAGCCTGGCCCCTGACACGAGGCTGTGACAGCAGCCACAGTGGGTCGAGCACTTACCGTGTACTCAGCCCTCTTTAATCCCTGGAGGTTGGGTACTCTCATTATGTAACAATTGGGGAACCGGGAACCAGCAGGTGACATACATCACTGGACTCCCACATGGTTAACTGTGGTTCGAGTCCCAGACCCGGCAGCTTGAAAATTATGCTGGGTGCACGTGCATACGTGCCCAAGATCCCAAAAGGAGAATGGAAGAGAAGGGATTGTGGCATGGCCATTGCCCCTGGGGGGTGATGTCTCACTTTCCCTCTCTCTTTCTGTCTCTCTCCCCAGCAAATGCACAGGCCCTAAGGTAAAAACAATAGTAACAAAGATCAGGGAACCATAGCTTCTTGGGGAATTAAGGCTTTAGTTGCTGGTGGGGCTGGCCTGGCAGATATTTGACACTTGCTGGATGAGTGATGAATGGACAGGTGGTCAGTGTGCATATAGCTCCCTGAAGCAGGCGTACAACCGGCAAGCTTTTGAAGAGAGAGGCGCGGACAGTTCTGAGGCTGGGCTAGACCTCAGAGGGCTTGGGGGTGCAGGCTGCAGGAGTAAGGTATGGAAGGAAGGTTAACTTTGCCTCTTTAACCCCCTTTCTTGTGAGCGCGGAGGTACAGCACTTGCCAAAGGCCATTGCTCCGGCTGTGGGGGTTAGGCCAGTTTGCTCTGGTAGCAATGCCCTGTTCACTCTTCTCCCTGCCTCTTCCCCACCAAGCCTCGGCTTTCATCATCGCCATGCTCCTGGCCAGCCTCAACAGCTGCTGCAACCCCTGGATCTACATGCTGTTCACCGGCCACCTCTTCCACGAACTCCTGCAGCGCTTCCTCTGCTGCTCCTCCAGCTACCTGAAGGGCAGCCGGCCCGGGGAGACGAGCACCAGCAAGAAGAGCAACTCATCCACCTTCGTCCTGAGCCGGCGCAGCTCCAGCCAGAAGAGCTGCTCCCAGCCGTCCACGGTGTGACCGAATGGCAGGGGCCAGCGTCGGGGCCAGGGCCACCTTCCCAAGCATGGGTTGTGCAGACTTGGACAGACCGCCCCCTGGCGGCTGTGTACGTATGTGTATGTGGCGCTCGGTTTTGTCCCTCCACACCTGGGGGTGGTTGAGCAGGTCGGGTGCTCTGACATGGGGTGGAGAAGTGGTTCCTTGGTAGAAGATAATAGGGTGACTCAGCCATCAGATGGTCCCTTGGGTGTCCCCTGGACTCCCACATGTTCTTACCCTGACCTCACTGCCAGCCTGGTTGGTGGGTAGGTTGTTTCTCCCCTGAACCTATAATTTCACTCTACTATCTTTTAAATAATTTATTCTGGGGTCTTGTGAAAGGCAGTTCAGTATAGGATTCATGACCCATCAGGTCAGGAAGCCCAGTGTTCTGGGCTAGAACTAAGAAGTGGAATTAACACCTCAGAAGAAAAGGGTGGTGCTAATATTCTCCTGAGCCCAGAGTGCTTTTGCCTTTGAATGGAGGAGTCTGAGAGTCCTTGGGGACCAGCTTATCAGAGGGTCCCTTGGAGCAAGGGGTTGTAAGACCACCTGGCACAAAGAACCAGTGAGGACTTGGGTCAAAAGTGTTTAAGAAACTAATATTTAAGAAGCAGTTGAGAAAGAAGCAGAAATAAAAGGCACCCAGATTGGAAAGGAAGTAGACCTATATGCAGATAATATGATTTTTTACATAGAAAATCCTAAGGAATCCACACATGCACACACACACACACACACACACAACTCCTATTAGAATAACCTCAGCAAGGTTTCAGGCTAGATCCATATACAAAAATATTTCTTTACACTAGGAATGAATAACATGAAATTAACAAGCAATTCTGTTTGTAATATCAGCAGAAATAGTAAAATAGGAATCAATTTAGCAACATTATGACTTGTACCCTACAAACTACAACATAGCATTACAAAAATAAAGAAGACTTAAACAAGGGAAAAGACACCCTGTGTTTATGGATTGGAGACGTAATATGGTTGGGATGGCAGTACTAGCCAAAGTGATGCACAGATTCGGTGCGACCCCTACCACAATCCCAGCTGTGTTCTTTGCAGAAATTGACAAACTAATCCTAAAATATGGAAATGCAAAGAATACAGAGTAGCCAAATAAACCTTAAAAATGGAGAAGGAAGTTGGTGCATTCACCCTTCCTGAATTCAAAACTTTTTATACAATGGCAGTAATCAAAACAGAGTAGCACTGGCTTAAGGACAGACATACAAGCCAATGAAAAAGAATAAAAAGCATAACTGTGAATCGTTACCTTTATGGTCAGTTTATTTATTTATTTTTCTTTTTCTGGAGGGGTTTTTGCTATCGGGCATGTGCGCTCTCCAGAAAGACAGACAGAGACAGAAAGACAGAAAATGAGAAATCACCCCCCAAGGGGGATGGCCATGCCGCAATCCCTTTTCCTCCATTCTCCTCTCTGGATCTTGGGCACGCATGCACACGCGCCTGGCATGAGTTTAAGCCACTGGGTCCAGGACTCAAACCGTGGTGGACTACATGGGAGTCCAGCAACATAGCCATTTCGCTAACTGCTGGTCCCATGGTCAGTTGATTTTTGACAAGTGTGTCAAGACAATTCAATCAGGAGCGAGTAGTCTTTTTAACCAATGGTGCTGGGATGAATCGCATATCCACATGCAAAAGAATGAAAATGAACCCTGACTCACACCATTTACAAAAATTAACTCAGAATGCATCAAAGGACTTAACGTAAGAGCTGAAACTAAAAAACTCTAAGGAGAAACCATAGGTGTAAATCTTTGAATTAGGCAACGGTTTTTTAGATATGACACCAAAGACAAAAGCTACAAAGGAAAAATAGGTAAATTGGCCTTTATCAAAATTTAAAACTTTTGTGATTCAAAAGACATCAGCAAGAAAGTGAAATGATAACCCACAGAGTGGGAGAAATTTGCAGATCATCTATCTGACAGGTGACTTGGACTCATACTATACAAAGAGCTCTTACAACAGAATTAAAAAAAAATATATATATATATATGTCAATTAAGAAATAGGCAGGGACCAGCAGATAGTGTAATGGTTATGTCACTGGACTCCCACATAGTCAACCATGGTTTGAGTCCCAGCCCTGGTGGCTTAAAACTCATGCCAGGCCCATGTGTATGCATGCCCAAAATCTCGGGAGGAGAATGGAGGAGGGATTGTGGTATGGCCATCCCCCTGGAAATGATTTCTCGCTTTCTGTCTCTCTGGTGAGCACATATGCCTTAGAGCAAAAATTTCTCTGAAAAAGAAAGAAAAGAAATAAACAAAAGATTCAAATACACATTCCTACAAAGAAGATACTCAAATGGCCACTCTGCACACAGAAGGATCAACATTATTATTTATTAGACAAATGCCAGTCAAAACAATCAGGTGGTTCTCACCCCCTAGGATGACTATAGTTAAAAAAAAAATGAATGATAAGACATGCTGATGAGGGTGTAAAGAAATTGGAACTCTCATGCCTTGCTGGTGGGGATATGAGATGCTATACAGTTTTGCAGTTCCTCAAAATGTTCAACCCAGAATTACAACAGACATGCTGCTCGTAGGTATTTACCCAGGAGGAAGGAAAGCATACGTACATAACAAAACTTGTACACCAAAGTTTATAGCACCATCAAAATAGCTCCAAGGTGGACATGACTCAAATATCTATGAACTGATGCGTGGATACATAAAATGTAGTGTAACAATACAGTGGAATATTATTTGGCTATAAAAAGGAATGAAGTACTGACGTGGATGAACTTTGAAAAATACTATGCTAAGTGAAAGAAGCCAGTTACAAAGGGTCTCATATTATGTGATTTCATTTATATGAGATTTCCAGAGCAGGCAAATCCAGAGAGACAGAATACAGATTGGTGGTTGCCAGGACAGGGCTGGGGACTAGAGAGTGACTATTAAAGACACAAGGTTTCTTATTCAGGTGGTGAAAATATTCTGGAATCAGTGGCTGAAAGTGCATAATTTTGAGAAGATACTAAAAACCCAACTGTACACAGTTAAAAAAAAAAAACCCATTAATAAAAAACCAGAAATGTTCAACAGCTGAATTCTGAGAAGGCCAATGAGGTAGATGAACTCTTCGGATTCTCTTACCCACCAGAGCTTTTGTTTCTCTGTATGACTCACCACTCTGAGGGATGCCAGGGTTTTCTTACTCAGTTTTCTAAAAATGATGACATTTTTCATTCTGGCCAAACTCGACTTCAGTGATAATCCCTCCACATGTATTTTTGTAAAGTTGTTATTTATTTCTTTCATGAGGAAGAGAGAGAGAGAGAGAGAGAGAGAGAGAGAGAAAGATACCCCCAACAGGCCTTTAGGGAACAATTCACCCCCAGTGTCTTCTGACCTGGAGAATCAGCGTGCTCAGGGAGGTCCTAGGACATGAACCGAGGACCTTTCCCATGTGGGTCCAATTGCTTTATGGCTTTACCACTGCCTGGCCATCCTCCTATCTTGCTTTAGTAAAGACACTCGGATGTCTTGTAGTTGTAAACTGTTATGCTTTATTAAGAGCGATTCACCAAGGGTCACAAAGGTTTTTCCTCCCTGGTAAACATGTTTTCAAATATCCTCCCCACTTTGAGGGTAGGGCATGACCGTGTCTAAGAAATACAGGACACTGTTGATGGGAGGTTTTCTGTCTGGGGCCAGCCAGCTCGGCGCACTCTGAGGCACTTTTTAATTTCCAGACACGTTTTTTGGACTTACTCAGATGCTAAAGCAAAAACACTTTTCTAAAGCTACAGATGCATTCTCTCCAGAACACACTTTCTTCTCCTCCCTTCACACAGTGCGCGCCTGTGTGTACACACACACACACACACACACACACACACACACACACACACACACACACACACACACACACACACACACACACACACACACACACACACACACACACACACACACACACACACACACACACACACACACACACACACACACACACACACACACACACACACACACACACACACACACACACACACACGAATGAGCTAGCAAGGTCTAGATGTTCTGAGAGGAGAGAGGCGTGCACTCAAGTGTCAATGCTCAACGTCTAAGAATTCAGTACAAGATGTTCAGTCCTAACTGGAGACAGTAACATCGTTGGACTGTGAGGCAGTGTCTTGCGTTGTTGGGACGTGTACTGAGTGTCAACACCAGCCAGTCCTTGCTCTGAGGGAAGCTAGCAGGATGCTGGCTTGGGGTCTCTGCACCCAGAGACTGGCCCACTGGGGGCCTTGGATGCGAATGTAGCAGTGGTGGGGTCTGTTTGCTTCTCTGCCCCCGTGCTTGCTAGCCATAAATGCCCTGGGTTTCTGCTCGTCCCAGGGAGGTTGCTCTCCTAGCAGCTAACCAAGGCCACTAGGATTCCAGGGGACAGAAAATCACAGTCGATTTTCTGACCAGGTGCAAGACCTTCCTGGTTCCCCGGGACTAGTGAAGTTCTCGGGCCTTTGAGCTGAATGGCACCCTTTGGTCATTCTGTTCATGCAAAAGCTCTGGCTGGTACCTCGGGTCTCATTGTGGCATGAGAATTTTGTGTTTTATGGCAAATAAGGGGCATTTGCTTTCAACAGCACCTCTGGATGTATACTTCCACGCTCTCCATCTCATCCTTGAAAATATGTCCACGATTTCTTAGTCTTTCCTCAGCCCGGCCCTAGAAGAATGCGCGTGGGGGGCCACCACACTACCTCGAGAGCTGTCCTATCTGTTCTCTGTTGCCAGGCACTGTTCCTGAGGTCTCC